AGTGAACACAGAGAGAAAGAGGTACAGGAACAGGCAAAGACACAGAGACTAGTGAACACAGAGAGAAAGAGGTACAGGAACAGGCAAAGACAGAGACTGGTGAACACAGAGTGAAAGAGGTACCGGAACAGGCGAAGCTAGAGAGAATGGTGAACACAGAATGAAACAGGTACAGGAACAGATGAAGACAAAGTGGAACAAAAGTGCTGTGTGCTTATTCTTTCTGAATTATTTTCTAGATCATTAGAAAATTTTCCTTTCAAAAAGCTACAAGGATCCCTCTAGCCAAGAGATGTAAACACTACAGCCACCCTGTTGAAGTGATGGTTTGAGAAGGAGATAAAACATGCCCCTGCAAATGAAGTACACAAGACTCACGCTACACTAAGAAATCTAAGCCCACTTAGATTTACACAAAGGCAACTGCATACGCAAGCACAAAGACAGAGACAAAGTGAACATACATCACCATCGATATCCACAGAGCTTGGGTTTACTACACTGCAGAAGCATGAAGTGTTAGAGCGCTAACTTATAACTTATGCTAATTATGTCACACTGAGAAGAAAAACATTTCAAAGCTTGGAAGGGAAGAGCAAAGAAAAGCCGCTCAGTAATAACAGTATAAGTAACACATGCAAGCAAGAGAGAGAATGCTCCAGTAGCGCGAGGAGACAGAGCAGTGTCTGCTTCTGGCCAAATGGTTAGCAGAGGGCTATGCACTGGTTTGATCCACCATTCCTAAGAGTAACACCTACAACAGTAACACAGAACAATTCAACCAAACCCCCAGCCAGCCTACCCGAGTCAGATTCGTCACACGGAAGAGACGCGTGACAACATCGTCGTCAGTTGACCTGGACAGGAACTCCACTTGCATGGGCCCATAGTGCTGTAGTCCGGGTTCTGGCCAGTACTGCAGGCAGGGCTGAAAGCCAATAAAAGTGTATGTACTAGATGGTCAGTCCTGCTTCCTGGCCACAGCGGGGGACACAGGTAGCTGTCTGCTAATGAAAGTTCATCTGAATCAACCAGACCTTGTGTGACATTTATCTTACTAAAGTCGGGCGGGCGACCCTATACCCATTGCCCTTAGTGAGTGTGATTGCCCTCCCGTCCAGGGTACATTGCCCACATGCTTTTTAGGATATGCTCCAGCTCTAGATAAGGAGCTACAGCAAATTATGGTTCATATTTCTCTTTTGCATTGTATCTTTCCCCTTGGTCACCGATAAGCCTCTATGATGTTAAAACTCACTAGTGCTGGAACGATGTAGCAAAATAATCCTGAGTGGGTTAGGGTGGCTCTCTTGGGGCCCGTGATCTGAGGGTCATGGGTTAAAATCCTGGGACCGGCAGACTGATACTTCACTTGGGCCCCTGAGCGAGGCCCTTAGCCCCCAGCTCCAGGGGTGCTGCATGCTGGTTACCCTGCGCTCTCTCCCCCAAATCTCCTGTACTATGGAAAATGGCTGATCCTCCAATACAGTCATCTCCATTATTTCAGGAGTTATGTCTTGTGCTGTTAACTCTGAATATTGACAAAGTTTAAATATTGACCAGGATGAACACCGATTCATTTAATGAATATCAGCTGATATATTCTAAGTTGTGTTGAATTGTTACTTAAACTGATGTTTGCACTAATGTTGGGCTGCTAAACAGATAGTATCTATGTGTTATTAAAATTGCACTAGTTTGTTATATCTACAGTGTCACTTGAAATCTAATCTGACTGTTTGTACTGATATCCAACTGAAGCGGCACAAGTTTTCGTTATATCTCTAGTGCAGAGGTGGAGATTTCAGGTAGAGAGAGTACAAATCCAGATCAAGATCTTGTTTCAACCAACCAGGTGAGTGTAAAGAGTCAGAGACACACAGTACTCAGCTGGTAAGTTGAAACAAAATCTTGGTCTGGATTTGTACTCTCTGGACCTGAAATCTCCACCTCTGCTCTAATGTTTCTTGAATTGCATTACTTTTGTAAAATTGCACTACTTTTGCTCTCAGCCCTTTATTTCTAAACTGGAACTGATTATTTTAATTTCTTTGGAAAGACTGTTATTTTCACATTATTAGATAATAAAATGTTGACAGTCTTTGTAATTATTTAATGTTTAGTTTATGATATTAGTTAGATTTTTAATGGTAAAATCAAATTTTAAAATTAGGTTATTTAACAGTTTAGTGGTTAGCTAAGTCAACTACTTGAAAAAATAAGCGTTAGATTAATTGATACAAAAATTATGTTTAGGTGTAGCCCTAAAACACACCCAGGCAGAGTTGGACTGGTTCAGCTGGTTCAACATGACCACAGCGCTGCAGCCGTAGTCAAAGACGAGCCTCCAGAAGTCTGCAGTGGTGTTGGCCAGCGGATGCGGCGTGACGATGAAGGCGGCGGGTCGGTGGAAGCTGCTGGCTAGAGCCGCATTGACATAGCTGCTGCCAGCCGCATCGCCCTCGGACGCTGTGAGCAGGGCCAGCGAGCGGTCCGGGGGCAGAACATCCATGCTGCGGTTCTTCTGCCGGTTCCTGGGAAGCAGTGCCATGCTGCACTCTTCCACGTCCAAGTGGGGTGTGACAGAGTTCAGCGTCTGTAAAACAGCCAGAGGAGAAATTACAGAGGCAGAGAGACACAAAGGGAGAGAAGGAATGGTGGAGAGAAAAACGAAAATGAAGAGAGAAAGACGAAAAATGTATAAGTGATGGAGAATGAAAAGAAACAGGAGGCATATAAGAGCAGAAAATGTGGATGGTGAGGAACAGATGGTATCAAGAAAACGAGAGATGAAGAAGTGAAGTGATGTAATTCAGAATAAAAAAAGGAAGATGACATCTGAGAAATATTCCAATACAAGAGCCAGAGAGGAAGACGGCCTCGAGGGGAACGAGTGAGAATCGAATGAGAGGAAGGAAACAAATCTCAGAGACAGAGAGAGGCAGCACAGACGTTTAATCTGAGGAAATTTTGTCGTCAGACTGAAAATTCAGTTATTGTTTCTAGACAACTTGTGGATCCAGTGCAACAACATTGCCAGATGGCTGAAACTTTAGAAAGCGTTTAATGTCAGCCATCAACCATGAAGGGACGTAATGAAGAAAAGCACAGCCTGGCCAATGCTCAAACATTCTGCATGAGAGCACCACCTGCCCTTTCAAAAGGAGACCGAACTGAGAGCAAACACAGTCGTTATTTACTTTGATGACTGGTGTGCGCATGCCAAAGTTGTTTTGACGATATGAGTTGAATACTCTGAATATTAATGTGCAGTCAGGTTCTGCTTGGCTATTGTTAAACTGCTTGTTCCATGCTGCATAATCAGGGCATGACAGTCTTGCTGGGCCTCAGCAAGTATGAAATGACAAACTTACTGGATCAAGTAATTCGATATATTATCGGCATACATCACACTCATGCTGTTGTGTTTACAGCAAGGGATCAGGTGAACAAACGACATGCAAACAAAATACACTATGATGCACTGGCGCAGTGTGAGCCTGAGTTGGAAGGGGGACTGTGACAGGGTCAGCATCTGTACTATTACTGTCTTCTGCTACTGTGTGTGTGTGCAAACTAGACATGTACCGGGACACAAATTTCACGGTTTGGTGCAATTTCACAGGAAAAATGGGATTTGTTTTTAAATTGTTTTTTTTTTTTTGTGGCAAACGTTTTCCCTGTTGAATGTCTACTTGAGAATTTAGGTTATGTTGGTGTCAAGAAAGGTATTCATTCTGGAGATGGCACAATATAATCAATGCAATGGGGTACTGGAAAACTATCTGCAGTAAGTGATGTAGTGTCACTGCAAAGAATAGGGAAATGTAATGGTCAGGATGTTCAAACAAAAGATATGCCGCTACTATTACAGCAGAGCATGACGAAATGAAGGACAATCTATAGTGGCTCTCAGACAAACAAGGTTTTATTACACAAAACAACGCAAAGCAAGAAACAGACATGCACACAAGGGGGGAATTTTCTCCTGTTGTGAGAAATGAATTTCAAGGCCAGAATGCATGTCCTCTGTGTACTTCTGCTGCATTCAGATTTACAGAATTCTCATTTTAACAGTAACAGCAGCAGTAAAACTATTTCACAGTTATGGTTAAACTTTGCAATTAATCCCCAAACCATGGGGGGGGGGGCACAAAATGACAGCTCTGAAGCACATGTCACTGAACACTTATCCATCATGTGACCCTCACTTATGTTGACAGTATGTTATGCTAAGGCTACAAGCATTTTTGCTATTTTTCAGCCTATTTCTGATTGAAAATGGCACCCCCCCACCCCGATACCCGATCCAGCATTTTCTCATGGTATCAACCTCATACCTATACTGGGTATCGGATCGGTGCCACCTCTAATTCGTTTATTTCACTGTGCGATACAAAAGAAACATCATGTAACAAAACGGTACACTACAAATACATGGACTGTTACAGCGATAGTGCAAACACAAGTTTGTATGGGTGTGAGAGTGTAGGGTGATGGTGAATTTCACTCACCTGGAACTCTTCTCGTAGGTGGGAGGAGTTACTTTGGGGATCCACCCTCAGCATCTCTGTGTAGCTGGCAGCAAACTCAGCCAATGGGATGGCCGTCTCCCCACAAAGACACGCCTCCAGGATGGCCTCATGGATGAACACGTACTGTTCCTGTTGAGGGAATGGAAGAGGCCAGACATGAACAAAGAGAGCAAGAGAACGGACAAAAGTAAAGAAAGGTGTAAGAGGGAGAAAGGAAAGAGAAATAAAGGGATAAGTAAGAGACATTCCAGGAAACAATGAGAGTGAAATTATGTGAAAATTGCATAACTGAGCGATAAATCTTATTGTTACAATAATTTATGATGAATGGTCAATAAAAGGTAAATATTGAAAATGGCATTTCAGCAACCCTAACCAGGATAACAGGATAGAAGATGGATGGATAGATTAAGGGATGATGGATGGATGGACAGAGGAAAATGGCATTAATGTGGCACTGAAAATTAAAGCCACACAAAACAGAGCTGATACTTCATATATGTCATAAACGCCATATGGACAAAAGTATTGAGACACATCTCTTAATTAGTGAATTCAGGTGTTTCATTCAGACCCATTGATAAGAGTGTATAAAATCAAGCACCTAGCCATGCAGTCAGTGTTACAAATATTTGTGAAAGAGAGTGAATTCAAGTATGGTACTGTCATAGGATGCTACCTTTGCAATAAGTCAGTTCTTGAAATTTCTTCCCTGCTAGATATTTCACAGTCAGCTGTAAGTAACACTATTGCAAAGCAGGAAGTGTTTAGGAACAACAGAAATTCAGCAACGACGTAACAGACTACTTGAAGTCACAGAACAGGGTCACCAAGTACTAAGGCGCACAGTGTGCAACTGCACAGTTCCTCTGGCATTAACTCCAGCACAAAAACTGTGTGCTGGGAGCTTCATGGAATGGGCTTCCATGGCTGAGCAGCTGTATGCAAGCCTCACATCACCAAGAGTGATGCCAAGCATCGGATGCAGTATAAAACACGCCACCACTGGACTCTGGAGCAGTGGAAACATGTTCTGTGGAGTGACAAATCACGCTTCTCTGTCTGGCAGTCTGATGGATGAGTCTGGGTTTGGCAGATGCCAGGAGAACGTTACCTGCCTGACTGCATTGTGCCAACTGTAAAGTTTGGTGGAGGAGGGATAATGGTATGGGGTTGTTTTTCAGGGGCTGGGTTAGGCCTCTTAGTTCTAGGGAAGGAAACTCTTAATGCTTCAGCATACCTAGACATTTTGGACAATTCTATGCTTCCGACTTTGTGGGAACAGTTTGGGGAAGAGGCCCTTTTCTGTTCCAGTATGACTGTGCCCCAGTGCAAAAAGCCAGGTCCATAAAGACATGGTTGGGTGAGTTTAGTGTGGAAGAACTTACCTGGCCCACACAGAGCCCTGACCTCAACCCCATCTAACACCTTTGGGATGAACTAGAATGGAGATTGCGAGCCAGACCTTCACATCCAACATCAGTGCCTGACCTCAAAAATGCTCTTCTGGATGAATGGACAAAAATTCCCACCAGCACAGTCCAAAATCTTGTGGACAGCCTTCCCAGAAAAGGGGCAGCTGTTATAGCTGCAAAGGGGACACCAACTCCATATTGATGCCTATGGATTTAGAATGTGATGTCATAAAAGTTCCTGTAAGTGTAATGGCCTGGTGTCCCAATCCTTTAGTCAATATAGTATATGTACTAAAAGAACACTACAGATGACTCCAAATGCAGCAGCATGACTGATGTTCATTTAGCCTAAGCGTCCTCATGTCACACCCCTTCTGGTCTCTCTTCATGGCTCCCTATTTGGCGCTCACATCAAGTTCAAATCTCACAAATCCATCAACTGACAAGCACCCATCTCCAACAAAAGGCTCCTCAGAATCCCTGTCCCATCTCCCCCTTCGGTGCTTGGAGCTCCCTCCAGCACTTGAGAAGTGTCATTCCAGACGCTTTTCTTGTGTCATTCTCTGGTAGTGGATGAGCTGTCATACCACATTCAGTCATCGCATTCCCTCTCCACCTTCAAGAAACACCTCAAGACCCATCTGTTCTATGAATTTCTCTACTGGTCTGATATCTCTTTCTATTCCCTAAATGGTATTATGTTGCACTTCTGGTCACTGAATAGTCTTAGTAGGCTCTTGTATTGTTAGAAGTTGTTCTGTAGCTCTTGCTGTAATCCTGCTTACTCTGGTACCTGGGCATTCATTGGATGCTCAGCCTAGCTGTACTCATGCCTAGTAGACTCCTCGAGGGCAGGTATGCTTGCAATGTGCTATATGCCTTACTTAAATATCGCTTTGGACACAAACACCTGCCAAATGTGTTAAATGTAAATCTTCTGTGCAATTGTAGCTCTATATATGAACATGAAAAGAAACATTTTGGTATTGGCCTTATCTCTGGCCATGGCCCTCACCTCTGACTGGATCATGTTGATGCGGTGGGAGCAGAGGGTTCTGACGCAGTTGTAGATGTCCACCACGCCCTCACACTCAGCCATGTCCAGCATGACGTCCAGCACTATGTAGCAGCCTGTCCGGCCGGCCCCGGCACTGAGGTCGAGGGAAAGGTAACGGTCACAACTGAGACTCCTCTACCCACCCCAGCAGGATACGCTGCACTTTTACCTGCAGTGCACCACCAGCGGCCCACTGTCAGAGGGGGTGTCGGCCTTCACGCGGCGCAGGAAAGCCAGCAGCCCTGTGGCATGGATCGGCACGCCATGCTCTGGCCACGACGTGAAATGGAACTGCCGCACCTCCTGCTTGGCTGAGAAGCCCCTCTGTGAACATCAGCACAGTGCTGTTAGCTTAGCAGTGAGCTGGAGCCTTTTGTCAATCCCAACACAATGCCCTTAGCCTAGTAGTATGTGAGAGCCCTCTGTGAAAGCCAGCACAATGCGGTTAGCCTAGTAGTAAGTGAGAGCCCACTGTGAAAGCCA